CATGGACGCAGAATGGGATTCTAACATTTTCTCAATCAACTACAGTTTTTAGAAATCCTAGAAAGTATTAGAATAAGCCTTTGTTTGCTAACTTTGGTTTGGAGTCGTCCTTACTGTCTTTGCTCTGTCCTCATTGTATATCCCTTTTGAGCCAGAACAATAAATGACTCTTTTAAAATTTTTCACACTGTTTGCTATGTGAAACCACTCTCTAAAGGTCCAGAATTATCCCACATTTTTTCAATTTTTTTTTATCATGCTGATATAAAATGTTGGAGGTTAGCAACAGATGAGGACTGGGAAAGGGCATTTGTTAAATAAAGAAGCAATAGGGCTGGAGAGGTGGCTCAGGGATTAAGAGCACTGGCTGCTCTTCCAGAGGTCCAGAGGTCCAGAGTTCAATTCCCAGCAACCACATGGTGGCTCACAGCTGTCGATAGTGGGAACTGATGTCCTCTTCTGGCATGTAGGCATACATGCGGATGGAGCACTCAGACACACAAAACAAATAAACAAACCTTTAAGAGAAATAACAAAATAAAATAAGGAAGCAGTGCTAATTGGTTTCCCTTTGCATTGCAGACACAGGTGATACCATCTTGTTGCCTATCCAGTATTTGAACAGGATTTAGTGGAGTTATATACTGTTTGGCCATTGTATCCAAACACCTTTCCTGAAATCCTTTCTCCCCATCAGACTCCGCCCCCAACACACTGGCTACCCAGAAAGCAGAACCTTCGCATCCAGGATCAAATGCCCTCAGTCCTGCAGAGCATGATACCTAGAGGAGGAAAAAAAAAATACTGAAGGAGGAAACACTCTTTACAGCTGTTCAGCTACAGTGATTGTGGATGGAGATCGTGAGTGCACACGGGACACTAGTACAATAAAGAAGGACACCAGCCCAGCTGATATGCTTAGTAGTTTGAAGCTTGTGGCAAGTGGAAAGGGCTAGGAGTCAAGCTCCCTGGACTCTTGAAGTTGAGTAACCACTTGTAGTGATATTTCATTTGTATTTTAATAAATAAAGTTTGCCTGAAGATCAAAACGCTAAACAGCCACACTAGTTAGCCCCAGAGTCTGGGCAATGGTGGTGTAGGCCTTGCATAGCAGCTCTAGAGAGAATTATAAGGCAGGAGGAGACAGGAACCTGCTCTCTTTACGTCTGAAGACTTCATAGAGGTAAGAACAGCTCCCTAGTGGCTTGGCCTCTTTGCTTTTCTGATCTTCGGGTTGAGCCCCAAGATCTGTCTATGAGTTTTCATGCTCCAGACACTAGGACTTTCCTTTCTACCCCGAGTGACACTGTCCACTTGTCCTGGTTTTTATGGGGAGAAGGAGAGATACCTTACACTAAGTAAAAGTTGCTGTATAGCACAGTTATATGTTCCTAGACTTCTCAAGAACCAGATTTAAATGTAAACCACCAAGTGTAGTCTCTCCCTCCCACATGTGACATGTGACATGTGACAAGCTGTTGTTCTCAGATCACAAGCATCTTTGTGAGGTAATTTTCGTTTCGTTTGATCTAGAAACAGAAGTCATGGTCTTGCTCAAGTTAGGCAAATAATCGACCAGTGAGCTATGTCCTCAGTCCCATCTTGCTCAGACATCTTAAATCCGAGTCACAGTCTGCAAGATCAATACAGCAGTCGACCAAATATGCCTGAACTAACTCCCAGAAGCAGACACCCTGGAAAACCTTTGTCCCAGGTGCCCTCTGAGCTCCTTGCCTCCTTCAAATTTGTGTTTCTGAAAGCATACGCAGAAGCGTGACACACAACTCATGCCCCACCTCTATCTCCTTTTCCGCGGTGACACTGATTACCTCCAAGTGTATTGTGAAACGTGTTAAGTTTGTGTACTGTTGTCTTCCCCCAACAATTTGTAGGTTCTTTTTCTCACTGATATGCTCAGGATGAGGCCCAGCATCCACTTGGGACTTGAAAAAAAAAAAAGTTTGAAGAAGCAATGACTGAATTCTCAGGTCAGGTCACATGTGCTATATGTTCCCTGGACCACAGGCACATGACATTCAGTAAACACACACTGGCTAAAAAAGGTATTTGTAGATATTCATCAAAAAACATACACCTCATATGAAGGACCAAGTTGCTGTGCAAATAATACGATCCGTCCCTGTTGTCGCTCTGGTGGCCTCTGACATTTGGAATGAGAGCAGAAACATGAATGGCTCTTCTGCTCTGACGTTATCCATTTTTAAATTCCTGTAGTTCCAAAAGCCAACTGTGTAATTCTCTTCTTAATCCCTTCTGTGTTCTGCTAACCCTTACAATTCATTCCGGAATAAAACAGCTATTTGATTCAAGATATGCCACAGCAAGCTATGTTAGTTGTGCATATGTGTGTTAAGCATGGTGAAAATTGGCGAGGATTTGTTCATTTGAACTTTTTGGAATTAGCAGGTCGAAATATTTTACGTATGTGTGTGTGCGTGTGTGTGTGTTATAAAATAATGCTTTATTTGGTGGGATAGTAAGCTACGTTTGCTATCATTTGTGACATTCTTGTCAGAAAAACAACATGTACATGTATGCAAAGCAGTCCTGGGTGCTGACTTTCCCATCAGCCTGTGGTTCAAAAACTCCCTTCATCTTTCAGAGTTTGCTCAGCTGGGGCCCAGGCAAGGACAGCAGGCCCTCCATCCATTCCCTTAGAGAAGTCAAAACTTTTAAAACTTGCGTTAAGTGCAGATAAATTGCTACAAGTTTTCAGAAAAGCACTTAAACGAAATTCCTTTTAAAATATTCATACATTTAATACAATATTAATTATATTTTAAATACACATGTAGAAGGATATTTGTGGCAATGCTTCTCATAATGAAAAAAATTACAAACAAGCTAAATACCCACCAATAAGAGACTATGTAAATTGGTTACGTTCTTCCTATTCTGGGTAACATGAAATACTTAGTCATCTAAAATGTTTGTTTTCGAAGACAGAATGCTAGATACACATTATAAGCCATACTTTTAAAATAAATGTCAAGCATATTTATAAAAAAAATCTAAGGTGAATTTGCAAGTGTGTTACTGATAATTGTCCCTGCTTGGATTTAAGCATTATTTAATGAATGAGTCCTAATATTTTAAGACGGTTACCAATGTCTACTGTGTTCTTAATTGATATCCAAAAACAGACTAAACATTTCTATAAGAAGTAATTTTCAAGTAGGGAAATACATTTAGTAACAAATATAATAAATTTGATACACTCACAAGAAAAATGTCACTTAATGAACTCTCATTTTAGACAGGCAATATACTAAACACATTAATCTTTCTATGAAGTGGACATGAGGAAACTATGAAGTAACTATGTCAATATCACATAAACAGTAAGGAATAGAGGGAGATTTAGTCCAGTATTTTCTATCTTTGGGGCTTCAGCATTTCAACATGAAAACAGTTGAGTTGGATCCACCATGAATGAACCACGATTTAGTTTTTGTCAAAGAATTGCTTCAGGTAGGATAGCCAAGGGATTCTTAAACTTTGTTCACTGGGACAGCCTTTGTCAAAGAAACTCTGAGATATACTACTATACATAACAGGGACACAACCTGAACATTCACTCATAATAAATAATAAAGAAATACACTTTAAAATGTGATATATATTCTTAAATATGAAATAATTTTTGTATACTAATGAGATAGACATACTTATTTTGCTTTTACACAAAGAGCTAAAACTTAGATGAATATTTGATAATGCGGGACACACAACATCTTCAATATTTTCAGAGACTGATAATTTAGTTTTATGATCATCAATGCAGAGAACGCCACTTCTCAGAAATACATAAAAATGACAGAGGTCGTTTTAGGGCCATTTCAGAAATTGTATAATTTCTGCCTTAAAGTCCAAATTAAAATTCATTTTAGCAATTTTTTGACTTGTCAGCCACTCGAACAGTAATTTTTTAAATCAGATATTCCAACACAATACAATCTGAAGAGGCACTAACTTGAGACTTATACACTGAGGAACGGTGGTAGAATTAAATCATTAGGCATCTATGAAAGCTTTGTGTACGGAGCACAGGTGCTGCAAATGACATCACGCAGCAGTCCTGAATAGGAGCCTAGGTGCCTGAGCCCTTGGTAAGCTGGGGTGTGATGGGACGTGCCAACAATGGGAAGCGCCCATGCCGAATACACAAGAACCAAGAACCAGGCCTGAAATGCTGTCACGCCGTGCACGGAATGGGACCATGCTTCTGGGAACACCATGGATTTATCATGCACCATTCTGAATGAAAATTAATATTAAGTTGGTGCATTTGGAAATCTTTTACCGTTTCCAAAATTTCCACAGCCCCCACATTCAGTGACCTGATCTGATACAGAGTGGTGACCCACAGTTTAAGAGACTGTGGGTGGCACTTCTAGTGGACATTTTTGATAATTACTGAATTTATTTATGATTATTATGTAGATACTGAATTTTGTGCGCATGTGTAATGCTAGGAATCAAACCTAGAGTCTTGCACATGCTAGGCTGTTACTATTTTTTGATTATTGATGGTATGTTCTTTGCCTCTCTCCAAGGTATTTCAGGTTATAGCTAGTAAACTAAATTCCCACAATGCAAACACTGACCAAAATTGAGGGCATGTGCCTTCTTAATCAATATGCTTAGTCAATGTGTAGATATAAAATATAAAATCTGTCTTAAAAATTCTTTACAAGACTTTTTAAACAAAATGTAATGAAAATATAAACCAGAAAATTAGAATTCTCTTCCTAAAGAATGAAGAAACTTAGATTCATAGGCCTGTGAGAAAAACGTGGCACCTCTGACCACTCTGCCCCTGAATGACAACTGGGAGAGGCCTTGGCAGCTCTTCCAGAAGTCCAGGTAGAACACTGAGTTCACTGATTAACTCAAACAATCTGTTTTTATACAAACTCACCCCAGATGCAACCAGATGTGAAGACTTTGGAACTGCCAAGCCAAGGAGGCTAAGCAAGCTGAGCTCAGTTATGTACGTGTGGATTGCCTCAGACACTGGGGTTCATGTTACCTAGAAGTAACTTCTAGATCCAAAGGATTTCCTTGGGGGGAAACTCTAGAATATGCAAAGCAAAAAGAGTTTCAAAAACTGTGTTTGGCATAGCATAAAGCAAAATACAATTTTAGCTCAGTTTCTAAGACAGAATCATTTCTAGAAAAGCAATTCACATGAGAGTCAGGTGAACTGGCAGCTCACTCATGAGAACATCACTTTCAGTCTGGTACTCCAGGTCCGGAAGTGATTGAGAACTAGCGCAGGAGGCACCAGGCACCAAGGCATCTCACTAGACTGCTTTCCAGAACCTGTCTGCTTAGAACTTGTGTTGAACATTTTTTAGAGTTTTATATATATACATATATATATGTGTGTGTGTGTGTGTGTGTGAGTGTGTTTATATACATAAATATTTATATATGCCATCTATATGTGTGTATATATATATATATGTATATATATCCTGCTCTTCAATCTACCATTTTGTCAAGAGATAGCATTCTTTATTTAAGGAATCATGTTCCTAAGTATCTTACTCTGAGGCACCCTTGTATCAGCTACAAGGCAAGCAGGTGTCTGGGACGATTTCCTCTGCCCATGGAAACACGGCGACTATTGAAGCAGCTCAAAGCATGATCACATCAAGGACAGAAAGAGTACTTCTGGAATTCCTTCTGAACTGAGTTGGTTCACTTTAGGGGAATGCACTGCAAGCTGGCTTTAAGCTTTTTTAAAACAGAGGAAGATATAAGCCTTTTGAGCATGAACACAATAGAAAACCATAAAATCAAAATCAGCAGGCAATTCCTTGAACAGAATCCACAGTCAAGTATATAAAGTCTGGGTAATTTTTGATACTCATTAGTTTCATACTCTTACAGTGAGCTCCACAATCCAGATTAAAAACATTGAACCCGTTTAACACACGAATTGAATTCCAATGTTTTCCTTTCAGAGTTAACAATTCCATATTCAAGAAAAGGAAAATCATATATGTGAATATTATTTTAAATGTTTTTTTTTTAATTTCCTATAAGTGGCCCCAAAAGAATCTTAAAAATTTAGATAATTTGAAGATGCAGAAATTACCCCAGCATAAAAGACCTTTCTGATGTCCAATTCTTAAGTATATACTCACAAATGTCTAAACTCGGGCAGAATACACTCATTCCAGAGGGTCACTTGATCTTTTTTGATCACATATCAACTCTTCCCAAGCCCTTTAGTCCAAGACAATGTGGCAGCACATAATGATTTGGTATAGCCTACCAAAGTCAGTTTTTCAATGTTTATTACTGTATACGTTTCTAGAAAAAAAAAAAAAACAGTAAACTAAGATGCTAGCTATAAGCATTTCCGTTTTTATTATTTCCCATAGTGAGTGATCTTATTCGTTTAGTCTAAATTTGTCCAGAATGTTTGTTTTTAAAATCAAGAAGGGATCTCTATGACTAAATAAAACCAAACAAGTAAGCTACTAGTTGCTATGATAACACGTTTCCTTCAGTCCAGTAGTTTACCAACCTCTTTTCCCTTGTTCAACCATTAAGGCTAAGGCCCTTCCAGCTGATGCAGAAGGAAAGAGGGAGGTGAGAGGCTGGTAAGTAAAGGCAGAGACAGAGGGATTGGTTTTCAGTCCACCTTCTGATAAAGCTCCTAGGGAACCATGATCCCACAACTCACCAAGTTCACGGCCATATGATAAAGAGAATTAATGAGTAAATGAATCTGTGTGTAGCCCAACTGAATACTGTCATTATCATGGTATTTCTTGCTAATTTGAATGAGATATGAAAGTCTAAATATAGCTAGATAAATAAAGTAGTGAAAAGTATCTAAGCACTAAAACTGCATGCCACCAGTCAACCGGATTCTCAGCGCCTCCCCAAGGCGAAAGCTGCACTCATGAAGCTCTCTCAGGACTCTCCTCCATTTACATCTGTCCTGACCCCTCCCTTCATAACTAGGCTCTTTTTCCTTGTGTTTTACTTTCTTCTTGATGGTTTTTTGGGTTGGGGGGGTGAAGGCTATTTATTGGTTTGTTTTAGTTTTGGAGAAGCAATTGTTTCCATTCCATATGCATCTTGGACAATCTTGGCGCTCTGTCCATCAAAATATTCTATTCATTCCCTGTCCATCCATCTTTACCTGACTGGGGTATAGGACTATCTTCCCAGACAGTTTATTCTGGCTCTGAAATATGAAGCTTTCCGTGGTATGATAAGATGCAGGAGCTAAGTGCTCTGCCTACCACGGGATTATGAGAAGACTTTCCTTTAGATCTGTTACATGGATTCCCAAGGTTCTGCTGCTCCAAAACTCTCTGAATGCTATTTGTCTTCTTCCTTATGACCATCTTATATCTTTCCAATAACATGCTTACTTACATATGTGTTTTTGTTCATGTATATTAGGTTAGCCAGTGCCCACTTCTAAACTCCAGGACACTGAAAGATACAGGGACTGTAATAACATAGATGGAAGGAAACTTATATCAAATAAATCATAATCCCTTGCTATACTAAAAGGGATGTCAAAATCCCAGTGCAGCTCACTAAAATTCATCTTAATTTTAAGTGTTTTGGAAATGATGATTTTCGCACCCAACAACCATTCCATATGCAAAGTATTAATCAATGTGATAAAATTAGAATAATAGCTGCAGTGTGGGGAATGTCATATGACTTAAAATCCCTGTTTCCTTACTTAGGAAAGGAAGAAATTATAATAAAAGATCTGCAAAAAGGCCCCTTCCTCATGACGGCTCCCGAGTTTTAAGTTTATATGGACAGAATCATATACCAACTGCTAGTTTTCCCTACTGTCAAGGAGGTTGCTAAGGAACCCACTCTTTCGTGTTTACACAATAAGTTAGTACGAGACCCACCCAGGATCAGTCTAGGCAGTAGTGTGACATTCTCCCACAGCTTTGTAAAAATCTTCTTGTGATGGAAATAAGGGACACTTTCTGTGCTCGCATTTTCCCCATTCCGTTCTCCTTCTGTGAGTTAAAAAAAAAAACGTAAGTTATAATTAGAATCAAGAAAATACTGCAAGAATAAATACAATGTATCCTGTTTTTATAAAAGGTCATTCTTTCAAGCTATCAAAGCCATTTAAACAAATACCTAATTGACGGTCGCAGCCTCCTCTGTAGGAGTGAAACACTCTGCCCAGTTTACAGATGAAGAAATCAAAGAGTCAAGCGAATTTCAGCTGGCCATTTTAGATCCCCGAGCAAGAGACTCCAAACATAACCCTTTAAAGCAGAGTGTGTCACAGTGCCAAATTAGCTCTGTTAGTTGGGCATTATTTTAATCTTGACCCAGGAATGTGTGCAATACATTTATAATGCAAACAGAAGGAAAGACATATTCAAATAGCAAAGAGTCAATCCTAAAACAAATAGCTATTACACTGGATTTCAGAGCAAGTTCTTCCGTGACTCGGTGATGACTCTGTGAAAACCCCATCTAAGTGCGACAAGTCTAATTTACGGCACAATTACAGAACGCTGGAAGAGAGTCTCCCCTGAAGACCAAGGTGTACATACTAATAGACCCGCACTGATCATAGCAGTGAGGATCATAGCAGCATGTCACTGGTTTAAACCAGAATCCTACTTCCCAGCCACACCATGAACAGTGGTCCAGAGTGAGAAAGAACGCCTAAGTGCCTTTTGTTTAGGGCACAGTGTCAGATTGACATGTAATCATTGGTTTTCTTTTTCATTAAAGAAATAAAATAACAATTCTTGAATCCTTGCCAGGAACTGTGCAATCCCCTCCAACAAGCCCATCACCCCAGAATTTCCGGAACCCATTCCGTCACCTTGAAAAACCTAAAGAGCCCCAGGGAACATGGAGCAGTGAAGGATGTGAAAGCCTTCCTTGACTTCTTCATCAGGATAACCTGTATTTAATTTTCTGCTGACTTCTTTTCCAGAACGAGCGAATTTCTTCAAGGAGATTGTCGTTTGTCATTAACGATGGGAAGTTTGTATGTCACAGCAAAGTAAAGACAGAACCTGGGAAGACCCCGGTAGAATATTTCTAACCGTGAGTAGACTTGGGAACCATAGCCAAGGAGACACTATAGCCGTGGGTCATCAGAGGAGGAGAGGAAGAAGAAGCATGAGAAGCTACGCCTTGAAGGCATGAGACAGAGAATTAAAAGAATTAACATCTTGTCAGCACCCACCTTTCACTAGGCTAATCAAGTCCCTTGGTCACATCTGAGACAGTATTTGGCCATTCCATTTAGTGACGTTCATCCTCATCTACCTCAGCAAAGCCCTGAGCAACCAACCTGATACACCAGACATTTATTTATATGTTCACCATTTGTCTCCCTCTGCTAGAATGCAAACTACTCAAGAGCAAGAGAACAGGATTGCTAGTCTGACCCTGACAGAGATACTCCCTTTTCCTTCCCAGCTGAGCCAATCAGGAAAGGGAAAATGTGGTCAGAAGAAGCCAACTAATGGCGTTTCCTTCTTCCTAGTAAGGTGCTTAGAGACTATGTCCTCTGGTCACACCAGAAGGACATGGCTTCTCTCCTACTCTTGGTGTCTTAAGTCAGCTCATCTCCTTACCACAGGCAGAAAAGTCTAGAAAATGGTAGACCTTACCAAGAGAAGAGGAAACATGTAGAACAAAACACACTTCTGGAGGAAAAACCTAGGAAAAGGAGGCAAGGCAGCTGAGTGCCTCTCTGGGCAATGAATGTGTTATTTGTGTGCCACTCTGGAAACTTCTTAGAAACCCGAACTTTTGCTCCACTACAGACCCACTGAGCCCGAATCAGCATTTTCATAAGGTCCTTAATTAGTCCAAAGTCATTTTAAAGTTTCCACCTTTAACCAAGACAGGCTGGTTTAAACAAGAGATATTCTTACACAAGACCTGGGTTCAGTTCCTAGCACTTACATGGCACAACTATCTGTAATTCCAGTTCCAAGGGATCTAACATTCTCATACAGGCAAACATGCAGGCACTAGCTTTTAATCCTGGAACTGGGGAGATAGAGGTAGGCAGATTTCTGTAAGTTTGAGGCCAGGCTGGTCTACACAGTGAGTTCTAGCCTGGCCAGTACTATATAGAGGAGGAAGGAGGAGGAAGAAGAAGGAAGAAGAAGACAAAAGAAGAAGGAGGAGGAGGAAGAAAAAAAGAAGGAAGAGGAGGAGAAAGAAGGAAGAGTAGGAAGAGGAAGAGAAGGAGGAGATGGAAGAGGAAGAGCAATGGGGAGGAAAAAAAGAAGAGCAAGAGGAGGGGGAGAAGAAGAAAAAGGAAGAGAAAAAGAAGAGGAAGAATAAGAGAACAAAGGAGGACAGGAGAAGAGGAGGAGACAGGAATAAGAAGGGGAAGAAGAGGAAGAAGAAGTTGCATTTGAACACATGTAAAATAAACTTTGTCAATCCCCCTGGGAAGGGAAAACAGACAAGACCTTCTGAGAAAATTAGGAGGTGGGGAGAAGGGAGGGTGGAAGGGGAGGTGGAGGAGAGAAGGGGGTGGAAGAGGAGAATATGAGGGAATGGGTTGCCCAAGAAGGGGGAAGGACAGTGAGGGAGAGAAAGGAAAGGGATATCAAGATTGAGGGAGCCATTAAAGGGCTATTGAGAAACATAGTTCTAGAGAAATTCCCAGGAATCCTCAAGGATGACTCTAAGACTCTAAGTAACAATGGAGAGGACACATAAAATGGCCTTCCCCTGTAATCAGATTGATGACTACCTTAATTGTCATCATAGAATCTTCTGATGGAAGCAGATACAGAGATCCACAGCGAAGCACTGTGCCCAGTTACCTGAGACCAGTCCAAGGGAAGGAGGAGCAATAATATGGGCAAATGGATCAAGACCATGATGGTGATACCCACAGAAACAGCTGACCAAACCTAGTGAGAGCTCACTGACTCTGGACTGATAGCAGGCAAACCTGCATGGGACCAAACTAGGGCCACTGAATGTGGGGGACAGTTGTGAGGCTTGGACAGTTTGAGGGACCAGTGGCAGTGGAACCAGAATGTGTCTCTAGTGCTTGAACTGGCATCTGGGAGCACATTCTCTTTGGAGATACCTTGCTGAGCCTAGATGTAGTGAGGAGGGTCTTGGTCCTGCCCCAAAGTGAAGTGTCAGACTTTGTTGACTCCCCATGGGAAGCCTTACCCTCTCTGAGGAGTGGATGTGGAGGTAGGGTAGGGATAAGGTGGAGGAAGTGGGAGGAGGGGAGGGAGGAGGAATGGGGATAGTTATGTAAAATGAGAAAATACCATATTATAAAAAACTCTTAATAAAAAAAAGAAAAAAGAAATTTTTGTTATATCAGCAGTACCGCAGTATGTACAGCAATGGGTATCAGTAGGCCATCATCACAGTCAAATCCCTCTGCCTTCTTTTCCTCATTAGGGACCAGTAATATGAAGACATGGTGTAGCCTGACAACTCTTATCTCCCAAAAAAGGATGAAAGTGAAGACTTAAAAGCACAAGTTTGTTTGCTTATTTTGCTTTTTAATTGCTAAAGGCAGTAAGAGCTTTGGAGAGGGAGAGCAAGAAGATACATCATTAACTACACACTGAATTTGCGTCCTTTCTTCTGCTGTAGAAAGAAAATAATAGGCCAGTTGTATAGGGTATTGTTAAACTCCTAAAGTATGGTGTGGTTGTTTTTAAAGTTCACTCTTATTGCATAGACAACTGATAAATCAGCAGCCGCCTCAAGCTTCAGGACGTTAGCACATGGCCACTGCTCGATCACAGAAAATATTACAAATACGTTTATTCTATCATGCTGGTCAAAAATACCCTAAATGTAATCACAGAGCCTATATCCAGTAGCTGATGAAAACCAAGGCAGAGATCCACAGACAAGCTCTACTGGGCCAAGCTCTGGAAGTCATACTGAAGAAAGGGAGGAAGGATTGTAGAAGCCAGAAGAGGTCAAGGTCATGATGGAGGAACCTACAGAGACAACTGACCAGTAGATGGAAGTTGGGCATGGGGAGGGAACAGAGGAGGAGGGGAGGAAGGGGAAACTGTGGTTAGTATGTAAAATAAAGGGAAAAAATTAAGTAATGAAAAAAAGAATTTAAAAAAAAGTAGCAGCAATGCCTATTAATGAAACACAAAAAAAAATTAATATGTAAATATTTTACAGACAAGTGTCTTTGAGATAGAGTGCAGAGTTGAGAAGAAAAAATTTAATAACTAACTACTGTATTTTAAAAAAAATAAACACAGATGTATTTAGACTTGGAATGCGAGAGAGAGAGAGAGAGAGAGTTACATCCTTTCTTAATTTTGAAAATTCAAAACTAACATCTATCCCACTCTATCTACAACTAGCAACTTAGGTAAAATAGAAATAAAATTTGCCTTCAATAAAATAAGCAGTTACCCTTTAAAAAAAAACGGAGACAGTAGTTAGTGAGTCATTCTGTCTAGTTAGATGAAATAATAAATCTGCAGTGGTCATTTGTTCAAACTCATTAAACAGCACGCACATATTTCAAAGACTGTGGGGCTCTTCCTTGGAGCTCTCTTTTCATCTTTGAAAGAAAACAGGGCTGCCGCTTTCCTTCTTCCCATACTCTACGCTACTTACCACCCATCCTGGTGTGGACTTTGCAGATACACAGAAAGCCTGCCAAGGTTTCAGTGTCCTTCCTTTACGTCTGCTCTGGTATGCCTGTAAAAACGCATAAAGACTACTTCTTGGAAAATTGATAATGTCCCCCGTTCGGTATTTGTGTATTAAGGACTGTCAGTTCCATTTAGTGTACCCATTCACCGGCCTCACTGTTAATCTGCATGCAACTGATTGCTGAGCAGCAGAGTGGTCAGAAGTCAGAGTTGACAGAACAATTCCTTTCTACAAACAGCAGTCAAAGACGTTATGCGCCCAAATTTCAAAGCAAGTTTCTGCATTTGCAAGTTTTAAGTCACACTTGGCAGTTTTTCCAAACACAGTGGTCAGGAACTGGAACAAAATAAACATGTGTTTCCAGGATTCTCTTTTCACATGGCACCCAAAGCGGAATGTTACCAAGATGATTTCACTCCTGAGAAGTGCTTCTCAAAGAAGAAAGCTAAGGTACATGTTACGAAATAATGCTAAGAAGTGAAATGAAAATTGCTTACACTGTATAAACGAAAGTTGAAACTTCCCCAAAGGGATTTCTTGAAAAATCTGATTTACCTATTAATTCAGTGATAGCATGCATTCTAAATCTCATCCTTCACAGATCTTCACACTGTGTCTTCTAGGTGCGTTCAACAAGACAGAAAACGGAGGCTTCCATCTACATCGGGTTCTTAAGCAGCAAAGACTGGTACGTTCCTATTGGGCTCAGAGAAGAACTGAGGTAAATTTATGGCTTTCTCAAGGTTGCCTCCTTCTAGGTGAATGGAAACTAACTCACAGGTGTGGCTCTTATTCAAGAGAGGAAACAGTCAATCACGGCGTAGGATTTCGGCAGTTCATAAAGCCGCCAGACCCCAAGTAACTAATCAGCCAGGTGGCTTAAAGCCTCAGCGCAAACCGCCCACCCTAGAGTAAAGCACTGCTCCCATTAAAATGTAAATCTTATACCTTGGAGGAATAACAATGCCAGCCATCAGCTCAGTAGGATGGACTTTTTTCTTAGTTTCTTACCAATGACCAGGACCCACAGAGACTAGGGTCCAGGGCAGAAAGTGACAGTGGACACTAAGGGTGGAAAGTACTCAGTGTAGAGCCTTTGGGACATTATACACACTAGTTGAGATCTTGGACTGCTAAGGATAGTCGTAGGGCCCTGGCATCTGAATGACAAAGATGGGGCAAAGAATGGTAAGAAATAACCAATCCAGGCAGGATGGGCACCATTGGACATCTTCAGGGAAAAGGATACTTGCACTGAAGATTTCAGAAACACAAGGCGAAAAGGTCTATAGGAAATCAAGGATCTCCTGTTTATTCTTGACTGTCTTTCCTTCAGCTGTTAGGAGGCCTCTCTCCTTATCGATTTCCCCATGAACATGAGCAGTGGCAAAGGCATCCCTGCTGTCTGTGTAGATGTTTAGTCTGTTTTCTTTTCCCAGTCTTAGGGCTCTAGTGAGAGCTATCAACTCTGCCCTTTGTGCAGATGTTCCCATTGGTAGGGTTCTGCCTATACAACTTCTGTAGTCGTTGTGACTGCTGCCACCACGTACCTTTGCTCATTTAGCATGTAACTGCTTACATCTGTGAACCAGGTGTCCTCCACAGCCAGCAGTGGGATAGCCTTCAGGTCCAGTCTGATGCAATGCGCTTGTGCCCATATTCCAGAACAATCGTGCAACAGAGGATAGCGGTTGGGGTCAGGTAGCAACGTGGCCGGGTTAAGAGTTTTGGGGACTTGGAATATAATCTGAGCTGGATTCAGGAGTAAAGCCTGAGAGTGGGTCATGTGGACATTGTTCAGCCACCGGTCTGGTGGCTGCTTAAGAATCCCCTCTAATGCATGTGGGGGGGAGGGAAGGGGGCGGATAGTCAGATTCTGTCCCAGAGTTAGCTTGTCTGCATCTTTTACCAGCAGGACCACAACTGCTCTAATGCAGAGAAAGGGAGGCCAGCACGCTGCCACAGGGTCTAACTTTTTGGGCAGGTAAGCCACTGGGTGCTTCCACGATCCCACTGCCCAAACAAGCACCCCTTTTGCTATTCCCTTGTGCTCATCCACGAACAGGTAGAAGGGCTTATTTACAGCTGGGAGTCTGAGGGCTGGAACGTCTAGGAGTTTCTGTTCTAGAGTATCAAATGTTTTCTGCCTTTCCTCAGTCCAAGTGAAGTCACCCTTGGTGGCTTTATACAGAGGTTTAGCTATTTTGGCAAACCCAGGGATCCAGGGGCGACAGAACCCGGCAGTCCCCCAGGAACTACTTGCTTGGCAGAAATGGGAGTTGGCATTTTTAGTACTGTCTCCTTGCTGGCCTTGGAACAACATCATTGGCTTTCTTTAAGGATGTGTCCCAAGTACATTACCTGCTGTTGACAGATCTGAGCCTTCTTTGCAGAGGTCTGGTATCACATGTCCCCAAGGGAACACTGTAGATGCAGTGGTTTTCTTCAGGCACCTTTGCTGATCCTAGGCTGCAATTAATAGGTCATACACATACTGTAACAGACTTACTTCTAGGTTCTGGCATCGGTACTCACACAGGTCTTTATGTAATGCCTCATAAAAGATGTTGGTAGAGTTCTTAAATCCTTGAGGCAAATGGGTGCAGGTTAGCTGCCCACTGATAGCTGATCCCTATCTCTGGGTCATGCCATTCAAAGGCAAACAGGTCTGACTCTTAGGGGCCAGTGACAGGTTAAAGAATTCATCTTTTAAATACAAGACAGTGTACCATTGCCAATTGCAGGGTACTCAACAGTGTATAAGGATTGGGAACAGTGGGATGTATTCCATAACCCTCTTGTTCACGTCCCTTAAGTCCTGTACTGGGGAAGGAGGGGGTAAGTTATTGGTGTAAGGCTTTTTAACTCATAACAGGGGAATAATGTGGGATTCCCCTCTGTATGCTGTGATTACCACTGATTAATAAAGAAACTGCCTTGGGCCTTTGCAGGGCAGAATAGAGGTAGGCAGGAAAAACTAAGCTGAATGCTGGGAGAAAGAAGGTGGAGTCATGAAGCTGCTGCCAGGAACAGACGAGACAGAACCTTGCCAGTAAGCCACAGCCACATGGCGATACACAGATTAATAGAAAATGGTTAAATTAGGATGTAAGAGCAGCCAATAAGCTGGAGCTAATAGGCCAAGCAGTGATTCAATTAATACAATTTCTATGTGGTTATTTAAGGAGTCTGGGTGACTGGGAAATGAACAAGCAGCTCCCTACAACAGGGCAGGGGATATGAAGACAGCAAGGATAGAAATTTGCTCTGTAGGCAGCAAACAAGTTGACTGTAGACCCTGCTACAATAAAGAATGATACTCCATACAACCCTGGGCTACTGCTGGAGGGTGCTGCAACCAGCTTGCCATCACATTCACTGAGGAGGAGGGCAAAAAGGCTGATTGGACTGCCAGTAAGACCTGGAGCCTATGGCTCTACTGCACTGGCTATGACCCAGTACTGACATTCACTATCCACAAAACCCAGTCACCCACCATTAAGCTTTCAATAGGACCCAACAGGATCATTAATCTACCTCAGGCCCCTAACCCGTCAACCCGAGTTCCATTAGGGGGATGACTCCACTACCACCTCAGATGAATGTCAGCTCTAGCCTCATGATCATGTCAACCATCAACCCATTGATGGGACACGAGCACCCTTTAATAGATCGGTTGGGTAGATTGCGCATGGTATTGAACGCTTCCCAACCCAATTTGACCAAAACTTGCTGGCTCTGTTATGATATAGCTCCTCCTTACTCTGAGGGCCTAGAAGTTAGGGCTACTGTTTCCATGACGACTGACATGAATCACTGCTGGTGGCAACAGAGCAAACAAGGCCTTACCCTACAACAAGTGACTGGGCAGGGACTATGTATAGGGCAGGTTCCACCAGACAAAGCTTCCATCTCTAATTCTTCACTGTCTACCCACAATTTCACACAGGATCAGTACTTGCTCCTACACAATAACATCTGATGGGTCTGCTCCATGGGGCTTTACCCCTTGTGTGCATATCAAAGTTTTAATCCAGACCAGGGGATATTGTGTACTAGTCAGGCTCGTTCCAAAAATAACCTATCACACTGATCAGGAGTTCCAAGACCTCATGCAGCAAGGATGGAGCCAGCCTTCAAGGCTATGGAGACATAAGGCAGAGCCTATGACAGCCCTCACCCTTAGCCTACTTTTAGGTGCTAGCCTGGGGGGATTGGGTATGGGAATCTCAGCACTAGTAACCCAGAATCAATATTACTCCAGCCTACGTGTTGCCATAGATATGGATATAGAGAGTATAGAAAAATCCATCTCCCACCTAGAGGAGTCCTTATCCTCCCTGGCAGAGGCAGTCTTATGAAACAGGAGGGGATCAGATCTCTTCTTATACCAGGGTGGGCTCTGTGCAGCTTTAGGAGAAGAATGGTGTTCCTTCACTGATCATTTGGGAATAATCAAAGACAACATGGCTAAAGTGGAAAAGAGAACTGTAAGGCCAGCCAGGGTTGGTTTGAAACCTGGTTTAATAGCTCCCCTTGGTTGACGACTCTCATCTCTACTCTATTGGGACTCCTGGTAATTCTACTTTTGTTACTGATTTTTGGGTCTTACATTCTTAACCAGAGAACAAAATTCATGAGAGATAGGTTGAGTACAATACAACTTATGGTCCAGAGATCACAAATCTACAGACCCCTCAGGACTGAAGATACTTAAGAGTTAACTGTCAGGAACTCATGATTGGGTCCACTATAGTAACCAGAACAGGGGAAGCAGGGGTGTGAAAAACCAAAGTTCCTCCATTCTGTCCTCCGCCTCCAACTTGTGTCTTGTCTAAGCCATTTCCTGAAAGACATTCCAGTCCTCAGAAATGGCTAGGGGCAAAAGCAAGGGGGTGGCCATCTAAAGTACAGATAACCTCAGAATATCACAGACCACTCAAAGGTCAGCTGATAAGAAAACTTGACAAGCAACAGGTGAGGTTCAAAAATAAAATTTCTGAAAAGTCCCTAGACACGAGCCAATCAGGATTGGATCCATCACCTCACACCCTGCTAATGTAACTTTTCTGGGTTTTGCCTTTAAATAATGCCCTTTAGAAGGACGGGGTACCTCCTCTTGCTGCTACTGCTTCAGTTGCTTTGACAAGGTTCCTGCCTGTTTGTATTGTGCACACAATAAACCTTGCTTTTGCATTTCTGTGAGTTGTTCTCCCTGGTGGTCTTTTGGGGTTCCCACAGCCTGGACATAACACTGCTAAGCTGCCATAAGGGCAGCTTTGTTCTGCCATGCCTTTCTACCAGTGTTCCATCGCTACAACCCACAAACAATGGAACCAGCTAGCCATGGCCTGAAACCTCTGAAAAAGTGAGTAAAATTTGATATTTCTGACTTTATAGTGATTTTTCTTGGGTATGTGTCAAAACTATGGGAAGTCTGGCAAAGACCTTTGAGATTGAGATTGTTTGCTACATTAATATATCGTAATGAAAATGAAATATATTTGAAAACATCAGGAAATCAGGACAGGGATGGATGTCTCAGCAGTCAAGAGCACAGACCACTCTTGCAAGGGACTTGAGGTTGTTTCCCAGAAGCCATGTTTGATGGCTCACAACTGCCTTTTAACTCCACCTCCAGGGGTCCAAAGTCTCAAGCAGCAATGGACACCTGCA